GGTGGTTTTTTTTAACAAAAAAGCTTTTAAAATATTTTTTTTGACAAAATGGTGCTTTTAAAAGATTTTTTCTAACAAATTTTCCTATTTAAGTTAATAATTATCTTTTGGAAAATATTAATAAAGGAAATATCTTTTATAAATATCTTTTGAACTGAATTAGTTTTTATTTTGAAAAAAATAATTTTGGAAATACTTTTACAACGTGTGTGTTAATCATTCAAATTGGTTGGAAAATTAAGGAAGAAGTAAAAGAGTGTTGAGAAAAACGTGGTTCACCTGCATCACAAGAATTCACTTTTGCGTGCTCCTCAAGTTGAGGAACATGGAGATAGTGGAACCAACTTAACTGCTTAGTGGGTGTATTTCTCACCCTATAAGTAACACTTCCTTCAGCTTGCAAAAACACACTTGAGATTCTAGCATATCTAATTTTGTTATAAGAGATTTTATTCCACTTGAGTCTAAAAGTGTCTTTGTGATTCATATTAGAGTTTTATTAATCGAGTTGTAATTTTGGGTAAGAATTTGAGTGAACTCTTAAAGAGAAAAGACTTGGAGTGAAGTCAAGAGCAGAGAAAGAAAGAGTTGAGAAGCCCAACTGATTGAGGGATCATTTGTGGGGGACTTTGGTTCGTAGCGGAACTAAGGTCAAAGAGTCTTAGTTTGTAATAGGTTGTTGCCCTATTATCGATTAAAAGATTGAGTTAAAATCCCTAGTGGTTGTGGTTTTTCTACTTGACTAGGGCCAAGAAGTTTTCCACGTAAAAATCTCTCGTGCAATCTTTTAGTTCCTCGCAAAATAGTTTTAAATTCTGCAAAAACTATAGTAGTTCTCTATACTACAATTCACCCCCCCCCTTCTCTTGTAGTATTCATCTGTGTCAACATAATGGCTATAAGATCTATAGGAGAAACAAGGCATATTATCTGACAAACAGGCTGCATTGGCTTTAATTCATATGTTACCATTCATAATGATATAACTTCTAACTAACGTCTGAGTACGTATCTATTGAAGCCTGTCTATAGTTTGGGACAATGTCACCCCTATTCTAAACAGTACAGAAGAAAAAGAATATTACCTGTCGTTTAAGTTGGCGTACATTGAACACATCTTTCATGGAATGCGAAATATATGACATCAAGTAGGCCGTGTATGCATCTTTAGCTGATTTGTTCAAGTGATAATTATTTGTTACCAAATTCTCCTGCATAATCACATTATGTAAGGTGGTGCTTTAATATTAGAAAACAAAAACGGAAATAGAAATGTTCAGTACCAGATGAGACTGCACGTTTGCCAGCTTCGTTGCATCGAAAATATACTCTTTTACGGACCTCCTCACTCTGCATCAAAAATTTGCATATTGAGCTAAAAAGAAGTTGCAAAGTTCACATGAAGAAACAACTGGAACTACCACAACCAAGAACTTAATGTAACTGAGGTTTCGGCCCATAGTTTGCAAACTATTTGGGGTTTATCTCCAAACTATTTCACCAGGATTCATGATTACATTCCTAAAGTATAAGTCCAACCCACATCTATCTGACTTCACCTTCATCATAGAAACTTTAATTATTGCTTATCGAATATATTCATACCTCCAAATAACTAAGATACTGCAACTCTTCTGGAATCAGAAAAAGCAAAGGATTACCCTTTGCACCTTCCCCATGAGCCATTCGTCCAGCCCTATATATATGTTCCTAAAGGGCCAACATATCAGCTAACTGAATCGAATGAAGCTAGCTATACAGAAAGTCAGCAAAGTCGCATACCTTTGGGTCAGCTGGAGGATCATACTGTACAATCCAATCCTACAAGAAGTGAAAAAAAAAAAAAAAGACAATTCAACTGTAAGAACTATTACTAAACCAAAACCTGTATTCTGTTAAGATTACAGTAATTAAGTCATGTAAGATACTAACCACAGCAGGAATTTCAAGTCCACGAACAGCAAGATCAGTGCACAAAAGTATGCCTTTTTCTGCTTTGCAAAAGTTTAAAAATGTTGTCACCCTCTTAGTCTGATTTTGCTTCGCATAGAGATCAAAGCAGTCTATCTCATTATATTTGAAAAGTTCTAAATGGAATTTTACCGAGTCACAGGAAGAAAAGACGACCACAACTTTCTTACTCAGACTCCTCTTCAGAAACGAATAGAGAACAATAAGTCTCTTATCACTAGAACAACACAATAGCCCTGCTGTAGTTCTTCATTGACAACCTATGATAACCAGCATCCAATTAATTATTCATCATAATATACTTATTCAGGTATGACAGACACAAACAATGGAGTGTAGATTTCACTTACCCTTCTCCTTTTCCTTCCCTCGTCAACATCAGTAGACTGGAACGACAAGCGATATCACTTACTTAGCACATATATACATATTATTACATGACAGCCAATTTTACTATCATTCTCAACATCCTTCTCACAAATTTCGAAAGCGAATTAAAACTTAAGTTACATACAAAGTATACACCCTTTCCCATCATTATTACTGCATAAAATTCCAGAATCATTCACAAAAATAACCGATTTTGTCTAATATACATGAGAAAATACAAGTTTATCTTCGTGATAAGCAAAAAAAATTGTTTATTTAGTGGCATTTCTGTAAATAAGTTAACAACTTTTATTAACTAATTAAATTCAAATAAACTTTAATTACAATCCAATTAGATTATGCTGATTGTAATTAACTAATCATAATCTTCATTATTTCTTACATAAATATATATTAGCTTGAATTCACACAAAATTAACCAAAAACAGAAAAATAAATGAGAAAAATCAAAGAAAAAAAATGATATAATAAGGACTTGAAAAGAGAACCTGGGTTATGGATAGATTACTCATAATTCCAATTATTTTCTCATCTTCACCACCATTATTTTCTCTCTCCTCTTCTTCCACTTCTTTTACTTCTTCATCATTTTCAGCTCTCTTCATCATTTTCAGCTCTCAATTCCTCAGCGCACGGCTGTTTCTGTTCTAACATTTTAGGGTTTGAAAAAATTCCTGCAAAAAATTAACAATTGAATTTAACTCAAAATTTTCGCGATTAATAATACTATGAATTGCAAAATTATAGCAATGTTATAATCTTTCAGTTATTATATGCAATAGTTCGAGAGAATCCACCTTAATAAAACCCTAAATTGAAATAAAGTAACGATTAACAGTAGATTGTGGTAATGATATTAGACCTCAAAAGCTGCTTCAATGGAGAACGGAAAGCTCACAGGTGGCTTCAATGGAGGACAAAGTATTTTCCGTGTGTATTGCCTAGCCGCTGTTCAATTCAACCAATCTAATTTACGTAGTTTTTTTTTTTTTTTTTTTTTTTTTTTTTTTTTTTTTTTTTTTGAGGCAATCTAATTTACGTAGTTGATATATATACGTATTGGTTAAACAAAAATATACGGGGGTTGGTAATTCAGGTCAACAGGTCAGGTTTGGATTTTTCTTAGTAACTTCACGTCGAGTTATCGGGGCGGGTTAGGGATTGGATACTCGCTTCGTTCCTTCTTACTATGTACCTTCATTTTTTTAGTTGACACATTTCTTTTAGCACGCTTGTCAACGCACAATTTTAATAATTAGCATCTCTAATTATCAACATTGTAATATTATAAAAAGTGGATAGGAATATAATTTATATTGAAACGATTCAAAGTACATCTCATATGACTATATTCAATCGTAACTATAAATTACAAAAGATTGTCAAAGTATAGTATGTGGATAGTGTAAAAGTCAAAGTGTATCAACTAAAAAAACAGATGAAATATTTTTTAAGTTTTGACTTTTATGGTCTATTTCTTAGAACTTGACTAGAAAAATTCCCTATAAACTCGAAAGACTATATTATGTGAGATCTTGTTAAATTTACTTTAAAAATAATTTTCAAAGACTTTTTCCAGGCACCCATACTGTTGATCAATTTATTTTCACTATTAATAGTCATATTTGTTCCTATTTTTTGATTTTAGAAAATTACAAAAGCTTTACTTATCCAACAATGAAATTTACGTGCAAGTAGCACAACCATCATAGTGATAGAGTAAGACTAAGAATTGCTCCTTTTGTTACAAAAAATGAAAGCCCAGTTTGATTGGCACATTTTTTCAACGCAGAACTTTGATCACTATTATCTTTAATTGTCATTAAGGCGTTGCTTGGTTAAACAAAGAAATTGAGAGAATTGAAAAAACATGGGAATTTAGTTCCTAAAAAAAAAAAAAAGAAAGAAGAAGAAGAAATGGGAATTTAGAAATTGGAACAAAAAAAAAGAGAGAAATGAATAATATAAAGTCCTTTAGGACTTCTTTACAAAAATAATGACTAGTATTTGGGCCCGAAAAATACCCCGGATCATCATATATATGGTTAACCAATAATATACAATTAATCTATGACTCAATTATCAATTGTTGTAATTCAAATTGCTATTTATATTGTCTTTCACTAAATATTACTGGAATATCAAAACGAAAAGGAACAAGCCTTTAGCATTAGGTTAATAATTATTTTGCTGGGCAGTATATTTCATCATAGTTAGCTATCCTTTTTTAACCTTTTCCACATTTGGTTTTCCTCCTCTTTTTTTTTTTTGGCAAACAAACAAAACGCATAGTTTCAGTTCGAAGTGCACAATGAGGATGGTGGGAAACACATAGTTTCATGGAGGTGCAACTAATCACCTAACACTTCTGAACAAATCATCACTAGCAACTTGTTTTGAACAAGAACTCATTCGATTGGATTTACTTGCCACAAGTTGACTCATCAAATTTAACACACAAGTCCCATAGGAGACAATCTTAAGGTTTCTCTCTTTAAAGTTTATTTCTTTCTCTTTACATATACTGTCCTCGGCAGGACGGAAATGGTAACCGAGAGAGAAATTAAAGAGAAGAAGCCTAGGCAAGAGCGTCATCAATGTCTAGAAGAATTTGCCAAAAGTTTAAACTAAAACAAAAATTCAAATATCAAGATATTGCAATACAAAGTTCTTCACAGACGTAAATAATTCAATAAGCTTCTTTCACGATAAAATACAACTCTTGGTGTTCAATGTCCAAGACCAGTATTAGATACTGTAGAAATGTTACAGACTATACGCAGAAGACTCAAAATTGCCAACATGACACATCTTCAAAGTAATTAGTAAAAAACACTTGAACAAATTCTGTTATGAAAGTTTTCTAATACCTAACAAATTGCCTAGTATCATCTCCACCTCGCTTCCCATAAGGATTGCTTTCATTAAACCTCCCTTCAATTTTACGGCTCTTCTTCCTAAACTTTGAAGCATTGCTGTCTAGTTTGATATCTACCTTTGGTGGGCAAGAAAAGCAGAACGAAGTAGCTACCGCCTGCACAAGTGAAGAAACATGTTATCTTGGAATAATAGATAATGGCCGCAGGATCAATAGGAAAATCGAGCTGCGTTATCTTACAAACAGTTAGCATCGGCTTTAATTCATATCTTACCATCCGTAATGACCCTACAACTGACATATGAGCGTGTTTTTATTGAAGTATCAACTATCAACCCCCATGCTAAACAATACAGAAGAAAAATAAATATTACCTGTAGATCGAGTTGGTGTACATTGAACACATCTTTCATGGAATGCGAGTTATATGACAATATGTAGGCTCTGTATGCATCTTTAGCTGACTTGTTCAAGTAATAATTATTTGTAACCAATTTCTCCTGCAAATTCCACAATGTAAGACAGTGCTTTCATAATTGGAAACAAAAATAACAGAAATAGGAAGATTCAGTACCAGATGTGACTGCACATTTGCCAGCTTCTTTGTATCAAAATCATACTCTTTCACAGGAACCTTCTCACTCTGCATTAAAATTTTACATATTGAGCTAGATATAAGGGGGCAGCATATGCGCATGAACAAACAAATGGGTCTACATAGCAGGCTTGCACAACCAAGAACTTAACATAACTAAGCTTTCTGCTCCACGTTTGCAGTCAGCACTCAATGTAAAGAAAACTTAAGAAAGGCTCTCCGGGGTTCATTTCCAAATTATCTCACAAGGATTCATGATTCATCTGACTTCACTTTCATCATAGAAACTTTAATTATTGCTTGTCAGATATATTCATACCTTCAAATAACTAAGGAACTGCAACTCTTCTGGAATCAGGAAAAGCAAAGCGTTACCCTTTGCACCTTCCCCACGAGCTGTTCGTCCAACCCTATGAATATATTCCTAAAAGGGACAACATATCAGCTAACCAGATAACATGAAGCTAGCTATTCAATGGGAGGAGGAGCTCAAGTCAGCAAATTCAAATACCTTTGGGTCATCTGGAGGATCATACTGCACAATCCAATCCTACAAAAAGCCAAGAAAATAACAGACCACTCATCTGTAAGTGCTGTTGCTAAGCCAAAACCTGTATGCTGAAGAGATTGCAGTAATTCATGTAAGAACAGGATATAAGACACTAACCACAGCAGGAATATCAAGTCCACGAGCAGCAACATCAGTGCACAAAAGTATGCCTTTCTCTGCTTTGCAGAAGTCAAAAAATGTTGTTGTCCTCTTGGTCTGCTTTTGCTTCCCATGGATATCTAAACAGTCTATCTGAATATATCTAAAGAGTTCTGAATGGAATTTTACTGAGTTGCAGGAAGAAAAGAAGACCATGACTTTCTTATTCAGATTCCTCTTCAGAAACGAATAGAGAAGGATAAGTCTCTTATCACTGGGAATAACACAATAGCCCTGCTGTAGTCCTTCGTTGGTAACCTATGATAACCAGCATCCAATAAATTATTCTTTATAAAAACCCAATGATGACAAAAACAAATAATGGAATAGATGCACCATCAATTTCCAGTTCACTTACCCTTCTCCTGCCCTCATCAACATCAATATAGATAGGAGTAGACTGGAACGACAAGCGTGCAAGGTCCTCCACCTATGTACCAAAAATTTTATATCACTTACTCAGTATCCCAACACCCCTCTCCCCCCTTAACCCTGCCCTTAATCCTGAACAGAAGTAAGGCAAAAAATACACAGAAATGAGAGCTACCTTCTGGGTTTGAGTGGCTGAAAAAAGAGCTGTTTGACGTTCCTGTATGCCAGAAAAATTTCAATCAAAAAACTAATTTCAGAAACTTCACACCTTGATGAAGACCGAAAGGAGCATAAATTTGGCATAACACATACGATTCCAGGAACAACAAAGTGAAAAATCAGTATCAAAAGGCACTAAAAGTCTAAAACATCACAAAAGAAGATAATCCACCCCAAACACTATAAAACTCAAGCTCAATCATATCAACTGTTCATATTCAATGGAAACAATAACTTGCAAAACAAAAGAAATATACTGATGGATTACATATACCTTCACATTACATACAGGAAAATGATATATACACCAATAAGGGCTAGCTATAAGAAGATAAAAGTAGAATTATTATGATTATAATCAACATTTAAAACACATATTAATGTGTGATTTTGTCACATATTCTTAAACTCAACAATAAGAAATATATACGATGCTCATAATTATCCCTTAGGCTACGTATATCATAGCCATTAAATATATAAAGATAAACATTTGTTTATAAAGTACCAGCTTTCCATCTTCCAAAATGCTACAAGCACCACAAACAATCATACTTTCCATAATATCAAATTTGCAACAGACTTAAATGACATGAATATTATTTTTCTCCCTTCATGCACATAAGAACATTGTCACTATATTTCAACAAACAGCTAATTGCATATATAACTTGTTTGAGGACACAGGGAGTATCAACCGCGCATGAAATATTAGAAGCAAATTTCTGACCTTCGGCAAAAGCTTTATGATCTGCCTCATTTCTTCTTCAAAATTAGCTTCCAGAATCCTGTCAGCTTCATCAATTACCAAGCACTGCAAGCATAAAATAATAAAGATGTCAATACCCTAGCAAAGACAAGCATAATAATTGATACTAAAGAAATGCTTTTAAAGGGTATATTAGCAGATTACTTTCCAACAGTTTCAAGACCTGGATAGAAATATAAGGAAATCCCCAGATTATAACTCCTCTTACACAATGATTTTGAATGCGTTCAGCAAATATGAACACCGAGAATTGATTACTAGGTTAAGTGAATATTCTTTACTACATTACATCAGCATCAAATGTCCTAAATATTACAGTGATGCACAGAATTGCATTCACTTAGGCTATGCTCAATTCACCTTGTTTCAACATATATTTGCTTATTTAAAAATTGATTAAATCAGACCATACCTGTTTAGTTGCCTTTGCTTATTGCAAAATATCTTTGATTCCGTAATTTTATAAAAAAATATATAAAAATCTATATATGGAAATTACACATTAATTATTTGATAAATTTTTTCTCAAGGAATAGTGTACAAATAAGGTCAAGGTTCAGTCACATTAATAAATCAAATTAAGATCAGGTCATCAGATCACAGAAGAAAGTTTGAAGTACTACACAAAAGCCCATGTTTCATGTATATTTGATATGAACGCTATAAATCACCTTCAAGTTTTTGAATATGAACCCCTTAGTATTTTGAAGATGGTCAAGAAGTCGTCCGGGAGTTGCCACTAAAAGATTAACACCTTTGGCAAGTCGTTCTGCTTCTCCCCTTCGGCCTGCACCACCAATCACCAAGCCAAGGGTTTGTGAATGATGCTTCAGAAGGTCTTTAGCAACAGCGTGTGACTGCATCATTGAGACAACAAGTATACTGAAACTGCCCAAAAGGGGTTAAAGCAGAGCAAACAAATGAAAGCAAGTCCTACATCCATGTAAATTACAGACCCTCGCTTAAAAAAGGGGAAAAAGAAAATGAGCTGCAGTCAATAGAAATGAGGGATAGAGATTTACCTGAATAGCAAGCTCCCTTGTTGGACAAATAACAACAACACCAACACCATTACGAGGAGTAAAACGAGTCTGGTGCAACAATTCCACAGCTGGAATAAGAAAAGCAAGGGTCTTTCCAGAACCAGTCCTCGCAGCTCCCAGCACATCTTTGCCTTCCAAGAGAGGAGGTATAGCTCTAGCTTGAATCTGTAAACATAGTAAAGCAAATAGCATAAGCTAACCGAGAATATTAAATTCAAACTACAATCAATTGAACTTGAATTATAGGATTCTAAGGGTATTCGTAGACCAACTTCCAGAATGTTTGCCAACTTATCAGTCTACAGAAATGCAAGCTTTTGACAAGCAAGGAATTTTATAATTGATCAGCTTCTAATGCTACTTGCAAATAGTTATTTCTCCTTGAAAAGTACAATTTCGTTCATCTAAGAATTTCGCGCTTCACTTTACAAATAGCTAGCTATAACGGAAATCAATGTCATGCATTTTATGAACCTTTCCCACCATTCTTTCTTGATGTTAGACAACTTGAAAGGATGAAGTTTCCATGTCCTCATTCAATCTACATCATCTCATCCTCATTCTTTAAACAAGGCTACTCTAAGTTCTATGTTCATCAAGAATCCAGTCTCTAAAAATCGATTTTCAAAAGCAAATCAAAAATTAAATTACATACAACTCCTTTCCGGCATAAACCATCCACAAAAATTACCCATCTACACTAATTAAAAATCACATGTACTTCAATTTCAATCCAATTAGACTATCATAAAAATTAGCTTGAAACCCTACAAAATCAATCCAAAAAACACTCAAAATGAAATAATAAGAAGAGAACCTGGGTCATGTTGGAGAACCCAATATCCTTAATAGCATTTTTAGTAGGCTCAGAAACTGGTAGAGCAAAGAAGGATTGATCACTCATAATTCCAATCCCACCACTCTTTTTCTTCTTTTTTTTCTTCTCAATCTTCTCAACTTCATTGCCATTATTTTCTCTCTCCTCTTCTTCCACTTGTTCTGCTTGTACTTCTTCATCATCACTTTCAGCCCTCAATTCGTCGGCGCACGGCCGTTTTCGTCCTACCATTTTAGGGCAATTTAAAGAAATTCCTGCAACAAATTAGCAACCAAATTTGAATCAAATTCTACTCTATTAAGAATATGAACAGAAATTTTAGCGCAAAGTTATAATCTTTTAGTAATTATTAGCAGTAGTTCGTTAATACACCATAGAAAACACTAATTTGAAGTAACTATATCATGAAATTCATATTCGACCTTGGAAGATGCTTCAATGGAGGACAGAAAGCTTACAAAGTATTTTCTGCTGTTTATGGTGGAGGGATTGGATGCTAGGTCTAAAATTATTAGGGTTAGGTTTTGTGTATTGGGTGTATTTATAATAATTACACCCTCTAAAAATGCAAACTTGAGTTATTTTTTAAAAAATTAAAAACATAAAATACGATTGTACCCTTCACCACTACTACATTATAAATAGTGGATTGACGATTCTGCCTATGGGTGATTATGAAACGAGACAACCAAGCTTAGCTTGGTCTAGTGGAAAGGAGAGCACCAATCCCCATTAGTGACAATTTGGGGGATGGGATTCTCTTACCTTCCTCCTACTCTCCCAAATTATCTAGCCCGCTAACCCAGATCGGGTTGAACCGTGAGGGGTTCCGGCCTAGTATAGCCCTTCATCTTAACTACCAAAAAAAATTATAAAAAAAAAAAAATTGAGATGAGATAACTTGCGAGCTACTTGAGTTCGGCTTGGTCAAAACTTGGTCAAAGCGGACTCGAGTAACCTCAGCCGGGCTCGAGCTCAACTGGAGATTGTAACGAGTCGAGTTGAGCAACTCACTACTCGACTCGAATAGCTCACGAGTAGCTTAATTAATTTTTTAAGTATATATATAAATCTTGTTTTTAGAATTTGAATCATTGTAAAACTTTACAAAAAAAAAAAAAAACCCAAACATAAGACTTATTAACTTATCTAGTTTACATACTTTAATCCTATTTAAATTAATTGTTACTCCTTGGTAAGAATTTGTTTATAAGATAAAGTAAAATTAATAATTAATCAATCATCAATAATAAATAATAATTATATACTAAAAGACACATCAGCAATGACATGTGTCATCTCCTGGTGTGTCCTTAGTTATTTTTTTTTTAAAAAAAATATTAATTAAGCAAACAAATCATTTACAAAAATAAAAGAAGTATTATTATTAGGATTTTTTTTAGAATATAACACCAAAAAAACATATAAATTTGATTAAAACACCACAAATTTTAAAAGTTTTATTATAACACCACTTAAATAAATGAAAATTTGATTTCACCACCAGATAACAATTTTCGTGACGGAAAATTTGTGTGGGCCCACAAATTAGTTTACCATCCAAATTTCAACCTCTTCAATTTGATTCTTTCTCCTTCATTCATTACCCAACTACTCCTCCCTTCATTGATTTGTCTTTGTTAATATTCAACAACCAAAATTAACATGGAATCAAACCCTAGTCTGATTTGTGTGGTTGAGAAATTCAATTGCAAGGAGAGGTGTTAGAGTAGGAGCGAAACAACTCAGTGAAAGTTTGTCAGTCATCTTCAACAACAAAAAAAGCTTGGATTTTTCGTGGTTTCTAACAACAACAGCAGTAAGATTCCAAAAGAGGTACCTTTCGAACCTTTTAAAGTAGTTTTCAACAGCTGATCGATGATGTCAATTTTGCAATTTTGTTGTGGATAGAAGGGTAAATTGGGCAAAATAAATGGAACCCTAAAAAGTGAAACTGAGTGTGCTTTACTGTGTTTAATCTGCCTTTGAACTTTGATATAAAGTAATTGATGTGTAATTTAAGTATTAGAATGTTTAATTGGTTAATTGTTTAGTTTAATTTTTTATTTTGGTGCACTGTTGACTGTTTTGTGTCATTGAATTGGGGTTTATTTGATTAGTCAATTATTTTAGAAGTAGTGTGTTTTATTGTGTAATTGGGGTATGCTATGTTGCCTTATGTTGACTATTTTTGCATGTGTTTATTAGGTAGATAATGGTCAGCCCAAATGGATTAATTGATATTGTATTCAGAGTTGGGGGTGCTTTTGTGCCTAAGAGAATATGGTACAGAATATGGTATAAACAAAGAGGGAAAACCTTTAACACTGGAAGAAGAGAACTAGTGAATGAAGAAGAAGTTAGGGGGTTGTTAGAGCTGAGACATTTAATTTGGAAGGATATGTTAAAGTGTCTGTAACTGCAAATGAAACTTTAAAGCACATTCATGAGGCTCAGTCCACTCCAGAAAAGGCTTCAACAAAGGGTAAGAAAAGATCAGCAGGGAGACCACCTTTAAACTCACCTTGGGTGGTGGAGCAGAGGAAGAAGAGTGAGCAAAGTGCAGCAAAGAAGGTAACCAATGTTTCATTTTAATAGCTTAATATATTTTCTGATACATGAGGTTGTTGATCCTTTTTTTTTTTTGTTAAACAGAGTGCAATAGGTGCAAGACCTAATAACATTGGGAACATGACATTCCCGCAAGAGAATCTAGGGTTTGAACCATGGAGTAAGCAGAAGGGTTCACAAAGTTAACAATAAAACCACCCAAAATCTAAGGGGAAAAGTCAACAAAATACACCCTCCTCAATAAGACCTTGTCCAAGCAACAAAGAAGCAGTACTGTGCTGCAAACTGGAGTGCAAACTAGGAGGGCTAAGCTGCATACTTTTAAAAATGCAAAAATTTAACTCAATGAACTGATGATGTGTTATGAAATAAACTTTTAGTTGGATGTGTTGTCAATTAATGTAATATACTAACGGTTGGAGGTAGTTTTTGAACACAAATTTTGGTGTAAGGCTTTGAAAGCCTATTTTGCTATGTTATGAAACTAATTTTCTTGGTTATGTCAATGGAATGTGGGATATTTAGGTACTTATTATATTCATTCTTTGCAAAAGATATCCATCTTACATTGCAAAAGTAGAACTCACTACCACTTATAATCCATTACAAAAGCATTAATGTTAAATTAGGCAAGTTAACAACAGAACAACTACACCTTAAGCATTATACAAACTCCCATAACTAGTATCACTAGCATCACTAAACTAATCCCAACAACAACACAAAGAACATAGTGCTCTGATCTTCCAATTCTTCTTTGCATTTCTCTATTCATCTTCTTTTCGTCAGAGTTGAGAGCCTTGCATTTCATCTTCACACTGTCCACTTCATTAAGAAAACACCTCATCTATCCACCAAGATCATCAACTTCCCTTTTAAAGCCACTAATTTCTCCCTTCAATAGTTTTTATCCAATAACAAATTGTTGATCACCTCTGTTTGCTAGGTTGTCCTATCAGGGTTATCCATTCATTCAAATTCTTTACAACCCCTACTTTCAGTTACTGGTTCTTAAAACTTGCACTTTCTGAACTCCCGCCCAGGATTATCCCTTGTCCAACTGGTAAGCTTCACAAAAGGAACACCATACTCGCACTCCTTATCTCTTGAAGGAGATGAGGAACTTATGAAAGACATCTCCTGCATCAATATGTCATCCAGAATAATCCACAACAATTTACTCTCACCAACCAAGCATTTGAAATAAGGAAATTAACTAAATAACTAATCAGTCCCAAAAATAAAAATAAAAACCCCAATTTAATTTTGCAATAAACCCTAATTTAAGTTTTTGATCAGTTTGGGGATAATTTAAGCAGCTATATCATGAATTAAGAAACAATAGCATGATTAATTACACAAACAAATTGCATTATGCATTTAATTCAAAAATATTTATCAATTAACAACATATTGAACAAAGCAAAATTAGGGTTTTTTTAGGGGTTTGACCTAATTACAATATTTCAGATCTTTCTCCCACCAACTATTGTTGGACTCGAACAATGTTGTTTCAATTTATGCCCTTTGATTATTGAATTCGCCAAATTCGAACCCTGAAATTATGTTATCAAATGAACAAATGAACGCCTTTGAAGGAAATTGCAAATATTTAAAAGAGTTTGAACAAAATAGTCGTTGAAGTAGGGCCTCAGTAACAGTTTCTCTAACGGACTGTCAATTTAGGTGGTGAAATCAAATTTTCTTTTTTATAAGTGGTGTTATAATAAAACTTTCAAAATTTATGGTGTTATAATCAAATTTTTATGCTTTTTAATTTATGGTGTTATTATCTAAAAAATCCTTATTTTTAAGGAAATTTTGACTTTTACCACCTCTAAAAAAACCACTTATTGGCTTTTACCATCTACATAAAAAAAAGTTTATTTTACCACCAACTAAATTTCCAAAAATTGGATTTCACCACCAATTAACGGATTCCGTCCATGAATCCGTTACTAGGCCCACCTTTTTGACGTTTCCTCTCCATCTCTCCCGATCTTCCATGTCAACCAGCCGACAACGAAATCAACTCACCTCGGTTGGTCGGAATTTCGTGTGGGGCTAGGGAGGTGTCGAAATTTGGTGTTGGGTAAGGAAAGGGTCGGAATTAGGTGGTGGCTAGGGTTTTAGGAGTGCGAAATTTGGTGGTGGCTAGGGTTTTAGGAGTGATCGGAATTCGATATAAGGGGGCTTTATGAGTGGTCGGGATTTGGTGGCTAGTGATTAGGGGATTTTTATCCACCAATCAGCATCCGACACGTGGGCCAGCCAGGTTTCGCCACGTGTCCTTCATGTAGGCCAATAGGAGTCTGCCACGTGTCATCAAGAGATTCGTCCTCCTTGGACCAATTGCAATGTGACACGTGTCCACCCATGCCAAATGGGAAAACCGGCCAACAAGGCCCAATCATTGTGGGACGCCCAGTCAGCCTTAGGTTTAACCTAAACCTAGTACTGGCACGCATCCCAAGGCATATAAATATGCCCATTAATCCTCATTAAGGGAGATGACGCACATTTAACACTCTCACCTAGAGAGACCAATTACTTTTATTTCCGCATTAATTACTCCTTAATCAAGTACTAACTTGACCGTCGGAGGCGGATCTCCAATCGTCCGGAGCATCCGTTTGTTTTGCAGGTACAGGCGTCCGGTTCCAGTCTCAGAATTGTAACTCTCCCGCAGGACATCAGAAAATCCCGAAACAGCTAGGGTTTTAAAGTCGAAAATTGGTGGAAAGGGGGTCGAAATCCGGTGGGAGGGGGTTGGAATCCGTGGCTGTGGCTAATGCGTTTGGGGTTGAGGGTGAGTGGTGGTTGTGCGGTGGCTATTGTGTGGCGAGTTGGTGGTGGTTGTTGGATGTGATTGGTGACAGAGGATACGTGGTGTGTGAGGGGGGGAATGCGAGTAGGTGGCTGGGTGAAGCAGGAAAGTTAAGAGGGATACGTTGCGGTGGTGAATTTAGTGGTATGGCTGTTGTGGCAG